TCATGGTGAGTGATCCCTCATAATTGTCTTGGGTCATCTCCTTGGTGATAAGTGAGCTCTTGCTCTACAATCATATGATATCTGGTCATTTAAAGGTGCTTCAGCACCTCTTCCCCTCCTGCCTCTCTTGCTCCTTCTTTACTATGTGATGTGCCTGCTCCCCTTTTACTTTTCACTGTGACTGTAAGCTTCCTGAGGCTTTCCTAGAAGCTGAGCAGATATTGTCACCATGCTTCTTGTAAAGCCTGCAGAACCATTAGTCAATTAAACCTCTTTTCTTTATAAATTATCCAGTCTCAGATATTTCTTTATAACAACACAAGAATGGCTTAATACAGAAAATTGGTACTAGAAGTTTGATATTGCTATAAAGATAGGTATGTTTGTGGAAGTGACTTTGGAACTGGGTAACAGTTGAAAGAGTTTGGAGAGCTCAGAAGAAGACAGGAAGATGAAGGAAAGTTTGGAACTTCTTAGAAATTGGTTAACTGATTGTGACCAAAATTCTGATAGTGATATGGACAGTAAAGGCAAGGTTGACGAGATCTCAGATGCAAATGTGGAGCTAATTGGGAACTGAAGCAAAGCTCACCCATGTTATGTGTTAGAAAAGAGCTTGGCTGCATTCTGTTCATACCCTAAGGATCTGCGGAAGTTGGAACTAGAGAGTGAAAATTTAGGGTATCTGATGAAAGAAATTTCTAAGCAACAAAGTATTCAAGAGGTAGCCTGGATGCTTCTAACAGCCTGTGCTAGGATACAGGAGCAAAGAAATGACTTAAAGTTGGAACTTTTCCTTAAAAGGGAAGCAGAGCATAAAAGTTTGGAAAATTTATAGCCTAGGTATGTGGTAAAGAAAGAAAAAGCTTTTTCAGTAGAGAAATTCAGGCAGGCTGAATTGCCAGAGAAATTTCTATAACTGAACAGGAGCAAACAGTTAATAACTAAGATGATGGGAAAATACCTTGAAGGCCTTTCAGAGATCTCTCAGGCAGTCTCTCCCTTCACAAGCCTAGGAGGACTAAATGGTTTCACAGGCCAGGCCCCGGTCCCCACTACCCTTTGCAGCCTCGGGACACTGCTTCCTGCATCCAGGCTGCTCTAGCTTTAGCCATGGCTCAAAGAGGCCCATGTATAGGTCAAGCTGCTACTTTGTAGAATGCAAACTCTAAGCCTGTACATTTCTATGTGGGATTAAGCCTGAAGGTGCACAGACAGCAAGAGTGCATGAGGCTTGGCAGCCTCTGCCTAGATTTCAGAGGATGTATGAGAAAGCCTGGGTGCCCAAGCAGAAGCATGCTGCAGGGGTGGAGTCCCCACAAAGAACTTCTGCCAGGGCAATGCAGAAGGGAAATGTGGGGCTGGAGCCCCCACACAGAGTCCCCAATGGGTCACTGCCTTGTGGAGCTGTGGGAAGTAGGCTGCTGCCCTCCAGACTCCAGAATCGTAGATCCACTGGCAGCTTGCATGCTGTGCATGGAAAAGCTTCTGGCATTTAACAACCTGTGAAAGTAACCATGGGGACTGAATTCTGCAAAGCCACAGGGGCAGAGCTGCCCAAGGCCTTGGGAGCCCACCTCTTGCACCAGTGTGTCCTGGATGCAGTATATGGAGTCAAAGGCAATTATTTTGGAGCTTTAAGATTTAATAAGCTTAAATCTCATTGACTGCTCTGCTGGGTTTTGGGCTTCCATGGGGCCTGTAGCCCCTTTCTTTTAGCCAATTTATCCCTTTTGAAATCGGAATGTTTACCCAGTGCCAATCAGCCATTGTATCTTGGAAGTAAATAACTTGTTTTGATATTACAGGCTTATAGGTAGAAGGAACTCATTTCGATTTGGGATAAGACTTTGGATTTGGTACTTGAAACATTTGAGTTAACGCTGGAATGAGTTAAGACTTTGGGGGAGCTATTGAGAAGGGATGATTGCATTTTGAAATATGAGAAAGACTTGAGATTTGGGATAAGACAGAGCAGAATGGTGTAGTTTGAATATTTTTCCCTACCCAAATGTCATGTTGAGATGTAATCCCTAGTATTGAAGTGGGGTCTGGTGGCGGGTGTTTGGATCATGGGGGGCAGATCCTTCATGAATGGTTTGAGCCATTCATTGCTTTGGTGGTAAGTGAACTTTCACTCTGAGTTCACAGGAGATCTGGTTATGGCATCCCCCTCCAACTCTCTGTCTCCCTCTTGTTCCTGCTTTTGCCATGTGACATGCCTGCTCCTTCTTTACCTGCTGCCATAATTGTAAGCTTCATGAGGCCTCCCTAGAAACCAAGCAGACTCTAGGCTTCCTGTAAAGCCTATAGAACCATGAACCAAATAAATCTCTTTATAAGTTATGCAGTATCAGGTATTTCTTTACAGCAGTGCAAGAATGGCCCAATACACATAGTATGCAAAGTTTAACAATATTGATTCTTCCAATCCATGAACATGGATTATCTTTCTGTGTTTTGTGTTCTGTTTAATTTGTTTCATCCGTTTCATGGTTTTTATCACAGAGACCTTTCACTTCTTTGGTTAAGTCAATTTCCAGGTATTTTACTTTATTTGTGGCTTTTGTAAATGAGATTACTTTCATGATTTCTCTTTTAAACTTTTTGTCATTTGCATGTAAAAATGCTATTAATTTCTGTATGTTGATTTTGTATCTTGCAACGTTACTGAATTTGTTTATCAGTTCTATGGTTTTTTGGTGGAGTCTTTAGGTTTTTCCAAAGATAAGATCATATCATTTGCAATCAAGAATAATTTGACTTGTTTCCAATTTGGATGCCCTTTATTTCTTTCTCTTATTTAACTGCATCAGCTAGGACTCCTATTACTATATGGAACAACAGTGGTGAGAATGGGTATTCTTGTCATGTTTCAGATCTTAGACATAAGGCTTTCAGTTTTTCTCCATTTGGTTTGATACTAGCTGTAGGTCTGTCATAAATGGCTTTTATTTTGCTGAGGTATGTTCCTTCTTACCTAGGTTTTGGAGAGGAATTTTTTTTTTCAGAAACGAATACTGAATTTTATCAGAAGCATCAACTGAAATGATCATATGGTTTTTGTCCTTCATTCTGTCAATATGATATATCACATTGATTGATTTGCATATGTTACATCATCTTTGCATCACTCCTATAAATCCTAAATGGTCATGATGAATGACCTCTTAATGTGTTGTTGAATTCAGTTTGCTGTTATTTTGTTGAGGACTTTTACATCAATGTTCATCAAGGAGATTGGCTTGTAGTTTTCTTTTTTTTATGTGTCTGTGTCTAGCTTTGGTATCAGGGTAATCCTGGCTTCATAGAATGAGTTTGAATGTATTCCCTCATCCTCTATTTTTTGGAGTAGGTTGAGCAGGATTGGTATTAATTCTTCTTTGCTTAAGCATTTGGCAAAATTTAGCAGTGAAGCCATTGGGTCCCAGGCTTTTTTTTTTTTTTTTTTTTTTTTTGCTGAAAAACTTTTATTTATTACTTAGATATAATTATTTATTTTTTTGTTCTTTTTTTTTTTTTTTTCATGTTTCT